AGAGTGTCTACCATAATGGAGCCCTCCTGATGCTAATCAATGCAATAACAATTCCCAGATTGTCTCCAAAACCACACTCCCTCCCCCCCCGGCCAAAGGGCTCTCTCCACCACCTGTATTGTGGCATATAGGAAGCTGGGGGAGAGGTTAGAATGAAAAACAGATAAGGTTAAAAAAAAAGTGTTTAATTGGGGTGTGAGAAAGGAAAGAAGAATCTTCCATAACGGGTGAACCTGTGAACCATTAAAGTGAATTTAATTTACCAAACCTATCAATCAAGCTGCTAACTGTCAAACTTAAAGGATAGCTGAAAATATTTCAGTAGAGGGCACTCAAGACCTAGGAATCTGTACTTGCCAAATCCTGCATATTTACTCTGTAGTATTTTATAAGACTTTAGCACATGAATCTCAGTAATGTGAGCACTGGGCCTCATATCTCACATTGATTGTGGTTATATTATACCCAATACATATAAATCTAAACAAAATTCTTGTGCACGTGGCTAATTCAAATGAACCAGTTTAGACAACCATTGTTTTGGGGTTTGTTTGTTTTTTTAAATGGTCTTTTTTCCCCTTCTACAGTATAGAAAAAATGTCCTGAAGGTAGAAGTGCTTATATCATGTCTCTTTGTGTGAGTTTCATCCTTCTTAGGTTGTCTGAAACATTAATCTTATTTGAAAGTGTCCTTCACTGATCAGCAGTTTTTTTCTAGATATTAATAAAATGTTTCAACATTTTGTCCTCTTTTGTAAGCAGTTCCTTTTATACTTGAAGAGAAAAAGCTTTGCATTAAAATTAATGGCATTTAGAACTTCCATAAATCTTCCGGATTGCTGTGGGTGAGAGAACATTAAGGTTCTTACGTATACAATCAATGTAACATGTTCATGAGTGTCATAGTCCTATCAGTATAACAAATACAGCATGAACTACTATGTGTAACCACTGCAAAAACATGTAGTAAAAGAGTCTAAAAAAATGCCATGATACCTTAAGCTACTTGTGAGCACACAACTTCCTAATTCATACAAATAAAAAGTATTCTATGTTTATGCACTGTAAACACAGTATATAATTTGCTTTAATTGGTTATGGATATACTGTGAAATAATGAATTACTGCCATAAAACTATTTTCACTATATTTGTGCATTATGCAAATAGATTTTACCACAATCAATGGAAATCACATAAGAATTGTAAAACAACAATGTTATGCTATTCTAGTGAAGGACAATGGAACAATCAGATTTCTGTAAGGTGTTCTAACAACTTGTGATGATACCACTTCATTCTCTTTTGAGTCTCCCAGGTCAATTTGTATTGTGGGCTTAGACAGACAGTAAGGTCTTCAAGACAAGGAATGAGTTGTTTTGGATTTTTTATTTTATTTTGTACAGCTCCTTACATGCACTGTGTAAATAATTACGTTTTGTTGAAATTCAGTTAACTGGGATGTGCAACATTAATTCTGCATTTCACAGAGCAGTTTTCATAATGTTTACAATTGTTATGTTATTGCCACAGCTATAGAATAATTCATCTTTGGTGTATCTCCACTACAGTCAATGTATGAATCTGGCCCATTATCAGTAGGTCATTCCACACAGGTGTGTTAAATACATCTACTGCAGCATGTTTCAGTGGGAATTTGTATGTAAAAAGACATATGTAGAGTTACATGCTCTCTTCCTAAAAACATTCTGATGTGATTAGGACAAGGACTCTGAGCTGGGGTTTCAAACTGTTTTGTTATTGATCATGACATAGAACAATCCCAGGCTGACATTTGGCGTGAGAGTGGAATTTTCTCTGGTGGGAGCATAGGCCAGAAAAGAACGATGCTATTAAGTTGCCTATGCAAGAGAGAAGGGTGCAGAGAGTAGGCCAACCAGTGAGAGAGCCAGGGTGGGGCTTCAGGAATAAAAGGGAGGATGGGAAGGGAACTAGATCAAGGAATGGCCATCCTGTTCAATTTTTCACCTTGCAAGACTCTCAGCTTCTATATGGATGGGCAGGAGATATGAACCCAGAAAGCCTCCATATACCACATTTTCTGCTGCTAGATGTTGCAGGCATTTTTGTTTGCCTTGGTTACATTTTTGTTGTTGTTTCCAGCTCTCTCTCTCCCCTCTCTGCCTCAACTAACAATGCAGAGCTCTCTCCACAAAAGCTTGCACCATCCATGGCCACTGCATACCATCCAACCCTAGGGTGACCAGATGTCCCAATTTTATAGGGACAGACCCCATATTTGGGGCTTTTTCTTATATAGGCCCTTATTATCCCCCTCCCATCCTGATTTTTCACACTTGCTAGCTGGTCACCCTATCAAACTCCAATCAAACAGCAAAAAATAAACTACACCCATGCTCTATGATTAATATTTATATTACACTGCACCTATCCCTAGGCCCCAGTCAGGATCAGGGGCCCATACTCTGGGTATCCGAAGAAGTGGGCTATAGCCCACGAAAGCTTATGCTCTAATAAATTTGTTAGTCTCTAAGGTGCCACAAGTACTCCTGTTCTTTTTGTGGATACAGACTAACACGGCTGCTACTCTGAATACTCTGGGTATGTGCAGCACCCAGCACTAAGAGGCAATCCTTACCCAGTAACAAACTAACCCAACACATCCACCTGCAACTGGCTTTTACACCTAAGATAGAGGCAGAACCCCCTGGCCTGACTTAAATAAAATCAACCCCCCTTCTCTACAACCTGCCCAGACTGACAGCAATAAGGACTCGCTGCCTCTCTTCCTTCCCCAAACACATCTGTCTGTGTCTCAGTACAAGTAGCCCCCAGCTCATGCCCTTTATAAAGAGCTATAGCTGTCCCTCATATCAGCCATTAGCAGGGAGACTTTTCCTCCATGCCCTTTCCCTGAATCTTTAACCCTCTAGGTACCACCAAAGCACTGTCAGGAGACGATAGAAATTGTCTTTGCTTGAAACACCTACATGTATACCCACGATGTAGATAATGAAATCCCTGAGGAGCTCAGAGCCTCTGCATACCCCCAGTGCTATCAGCTATTAGCATTTCTCTAGGATTTAACACCTGTGCAAATGACAGCTGGCGAGCCCTGCCCCCACTGCTTGGTAATTGACCTAATCACTCAATGGGGCCAGACTGAGAAAAAGTCACCTCCCTTGTGAAATTAGGCCCAAAGCCTATGTCATAATTTTGGTAATTTGTCTGTAGCCCAAGCAATATATTCTAGCTGCTGTCCCCACCAGTTACTAATTCTATAGTCTAGAGACACATACAGGTGATCAGATACCCCGGTGGTGGGCACATATGGACACCTGGCTAACCTGCTGTGCTACACAGATGTGCTCACTAATTGCTGCAAACCATAAAAATCAGAATCTTTCCTTCTGTACTTAAGGCTGACAGGGTTGGGGGGTGGCTTTTCCTCGCTTTCTTTAAGGATATGAATGATAAATGGGGGTTCATGAGGGCTAGTCCTGTGTTAATTGCTCAGTGATAGGCCAGAGATATTAGCATTCCCTACAATGCTAGGGGGTTGTGAGCCTACCACTGAGGAACGGAAAAGACAAGGAAAATGAAAAGGATGAATAGTTACAGACTATTAGTCCGTTTGAAAGAAAATTAAAGATTTGCTCCTCAGACGTTCGGCAACGCAGTTGCGATTGGGGATGATGGAATAGATCAAACTATTTAAAAGAGAGAAATAAACGCACCGCGGCCTCCCCCCGGCAAGCTGACAGAGCAGCCCGCTTATCTAGTGAATTTCCAGCCCTTTGTGTCTGTCCCGGAGGTCATTAAACTCCTCTAACCGCAGAGCTCCGGGCTGCGTCGCAGCGCCTCTCCCTGCAGCTCTGGGATTCCTGTCACCTCCCACCAGACGAGCTTAGTTTGTAGTTAGTATTATGGTCCTCAGCCCCATCCCCTTTACCTGCCAGCTCCGCCCTGCAAATAAACTCAGGCTGCCCAGTCTCTGCCCTTTCCCTTACTTCTAGCCTCGTGCAATGCCCTAATCAAGCGCCAGGCCAGGAGCCCTGCCCTGAGGCGCTGCCCAGACGGGTCTCCCCGCTCCAGGCTGAAGTGATGCTGCGAGGCGGAGAGAGGCTGCACCCTCCCGCCCCCTCCCCCTCCCTGCAAGGCAGCCCCAGCCTGGCCCGGAGCGAGCTCCCGGTCCCCTGGAGAAGTTTCCCACGGTCACTGTCCGGGCTGCCTGAGGGGGGCTCCCTCTCCCGCCTGTGCCCCCACCCAGCCCTCCTGCAGGGACACCCCCCCCCGGGCCCCCCCCCCCCCGCCTCAGCCCAGGGCTCGAGGGAGGGTGACAGGCTCGCACGCGGCCGGGAGCAGCCCCCCAGGCTCGCGCCCCCTCCCGCGGGTCCCAGGCTGTGCGGGCTCCGCAGCCGCGGAATAGTCCCCCCCCAGCGCGCACCGCTGCGCCCGTCCCGGTACCTGAGCGGGCCGGGACGAGCCCTGCGCCCCCCCGACGGGCAGCTCCCGGGGGCCTGAGCAATTGCCTCTGATTGTCCCCCGAGAAGCTGAGACGCCCGCCTGCCCCTTCCCAGCCCGCCTCCCCTGGGGGCTGCGCTTTGGGGTTTTCATTCCCCTCCAAACTCTGCCCCCCCCGTAGTGTGTGTGTGTGTGTGTGTGTGTGTGTGCACGACTCCACTCCAGGGCTTTGTGCTCACCAGCGATAGCATCAGTGGTAGGAGGGGACAGAGAGACTCCGGCAGGCTGAGACGGAGCAGTCAGAGCTTTCCTGCAGGTGAAGCCCCGCTCGGCCCAGGCACCAGCCCGCGGGCGGATCCGGCGGCGCTTCTGGGGGACTGACACAGCCCAGGCGGCGGAGTCCAGTAAGATGTGCCATGGGCAGCCTCCCCTCGCCCCGGCCTGCCAGCTCCGCCTAGACCCCGGGCACCGCCAGGACACCCAGCTCGCCCTCAAGCCCTAGGGTCGCGAGGGGACCCCCACGCTCCACCGGCCGGGAGGCGTTTTCCCCCAACGATGCCCCATTTCTGGCTCGCTCTGCGGAGTGTGCTTGTGGAATACTGGGTCGGGGTCCTGGTTTGCGGCTTTTGGATGCAGTCTTCGCATGGGATGCCCCATGTCATCCGGATAGGTAAGGGCGGCGGGGGCTGCGCTCGCCCCCCGGCTCCTCTTTGGGGAGGGGGGCTGCTTGCTCTGGGGGGGGGCTGCTTGCGTGGACGGGGCTTGCCCCAGCTTTGCTGGGGTGTCTGGCGTCTCCCCGGCTCGCCAAGTGCACTTTCCAAGAGGAAGCAGCCGAAGTGCCGGGCCGAGCCCGAGGACAGGCGGCTGCGGGGCCGGTTCGGTGGGGAGGGTCCGAGACGCACGAGGCGCTATGTCCAGGGGGTCTCTCTGCCCGCAGCGATGGGGCGGGGAGCGTGCAGGTCTCGAAGGCGCAGGGCAGGGGGGTGGTTTCGGAGACATGGCGAGACACCAGCGGCGGGCTTGTCGGGGACCGTGGCGAGGAGGCAGAGCTGCCCCCCCTGACTCCTCTCTCTGCGAAGGGGGGTCCCAGGGCCCAGGGGGGGTCCCAGGGAGCGGCCCGCCCCGGGAAGGGGCTTTGCAGAAGGGAAAGTTTGGGCGGCGGCTTCTCCTCGGCTCGGTGCTTTGGAGGCGGGGTGCTGGCCTGGGGGGCCCAGAGCAGGAGAGGGGCTGTGTGCACGCGAGGGGGGGTTAAGCTACAGGGAGAGGAGTGGGCGCTCGCGGGGTCCTGGGTTCACTCCCTGGGCTCTGGCGGGTCCCAAGCGCTCAGCGGGGCGTGGTGAGGAGCTGGGAGGTGCAGCAGCACCCCGAGGCACTGGATTGAATGGAGCTGCTTGTAGTTTGATTTTCTGGAGGCTGAGGTGTGAAGGGGGGTTACAGCCCTAAAAGGCGAGGGATCAAATGCCGCGACTCCCGCTGACTCTCTGCCCCTGGCAGCTAACGCCAGGCAGCGGTTACTGGCTGCCGACTTTGGTCTGTGGAACAACCGAGGTTACCGGGAGGTTTAATAATGTTACCTAAAGTGATTGCACAGCCGGGCATGCAGGAGAGAGTCCCAACTGCGCTGTACTTAAAGATGCGGTTCTGAAGTCTCTGATTTAGGGAAGGGCTCGCGGCCAGGTACAGGCAGCACCTGCGGTTTTTGGTTGTGTGTTTTGGGTGCACACAGCCAGGGGTTTGCTCGCTGCCACCGGACACAACTGTCATTGGAGTTTTACAAAGGGACCCTCTGGGCTGTGGCTGAATAGTTGTCAATGGAAGGGCAGTTGGGAGGAAAACAGAGCGGAACAGGGCCTTATTTACCAAATGCCCCTTGCCAGCAGCCCTCACCAATGTCTGTCAGCGGAAAACAACGGAGTTGGACCACAAATAAAATCCTGCCGTTGTCAGGAGAGGCAGTTACTTCCCCAGGTGCAATCTCTCCCCCCATGCAATGACCCAGCCTGCCCTCGGGACCAATGGCCTGAGGCAGGGAGGCGGGCGCCTGCTGGGTCTGGGAATAAGAGACTGTGGCCCTGAGGCCTGAGGCTGCAGTTGTCTCCACAGAGGCCGGCTCCTGTGCAGACCATCATGGATGGAGGGGGAAGGCTCAGGAGACGCCTGCATGGATCCAGAGGCAGGGTCAGGGGCCTTCGCAGCTTCCTAAATCCAGTCTGTGTAATTGCAGATCCCCGGCTCTGAAATGCCCTTCCCTACCAGGGTGGTGGAAACTCTGTAGCACGGGGAGGGTGCAGACCCCTGCCTGGGCTCCATGATTCTGCGCGTCTCCGTCAGCTCTGTGGAGCAGAACCCCACTGTAGCTCGCCCGACAGTCCTTACTCAGGCTAAATTCCCACCGAAGTCCATGGAAGTTTCATCTGAGAGGGGACAGGCATCTCGGGTTCCAGTCCTGCAGCTGGATGTGCTTGCACAGGAACACAGGGGTCCAACATTATTGGATCCAATTGTAACCCTGGGGCATTGGGAGTTGCAACTTGTGATCCAACTTTCTCCACTACCAGGCACCTGGTGCAGCCATGTCGTCCTGAACAAAGGGGCTGTCAGATGCTGCCATTCTGACTTGGTAGCGATTGAAGGACTGCACAAGGTGTAGGGCAGTGGAGAATCAGGCTCAGTCACTTGACCCACAATGCTTTGCACTGTCATCTGCCTAGCTCATCAGAGCTGCAAGCTGCCCCCTGATTTGCCCGGCCTTCTGAGATACTCAAGCAGACACTTGCAGGGGAGCTTATTGGAGTCACTGGGAGGGGAGGGTGCTCAGCACCACAGAGGATTAGGCCCACCTTCTTGGGACCTCACTGTTGCTCAATGGAATCATTCAGCAATAGACTCCAAGGCCGAGTGGCCTCAACCACCCAAGAAAAGTATTTTCTGCTGGAGCTTGAAAAGGCTCCAGGCACCGGCTGCAAGAGCAGAGAAGAAAGGGACATTTCACATTCAGGTGCTACTAAAAAAAATCATCATGAACCTTCCCCCTGGATCATTCTCACTGGCGGAGACACTGTAGATCTGATTTGCCGTTGCCTTGCCCTCCCCTATACCAGTGCCGAATGCTGCCATTCAGACAGGCAGGGTTTTACTCTCATACTAGCCTGGCATAAATGACGCCACAGTGGGCAGTCTGGCCTTCCTTCCCTGCAAGCACCTCTGCCCACAGCTCCCATCAGTGTTGTTAAGGGTTGATCGGAAAGGGCTGCTTTTAATTTCTAAACTTAAAAGAGCCGAACGCCTGCCTCTGGCAGAGCATAACTTGGTTTTGGTCAATGAAATAAGAAAGTTAAAATGCAGACAGGTGACTGAGGGTGTAAGGAAAGCTACAAATGCCTTGGCGCCATTCGTTTAAAATTGGCATCATATTTTCCTCCCCTTGGGTTCAGTTGAAAAATGCAGATTTTTCTCTCTGCATTAATTTGCCTGTCAGTTTGTCCACAGCTACACCCATTCCAAATCCCGCTTTTAATGACTAGAGTACACTGGGACATGGAAACCTCCTGAAGAGGTAGCCTTTGTTCTCTAAAAACAGTCAAGTTTTAAAGGCTAGTTTGGTTTCAAACGAAACTGACAATTGAATATGTGCCATTTGAATTCTAGGGAAGGCATCCAGGACAAGGAAGGGAAGAGCCAGAAAGTGCATTCTCTCTCTCTCAGATCCTCATAATGGGGGAAAGGAGGGAGGGAAGAGATCGGTAATGCAGAAAATACATGCCTTTTTAAAAATTATTAAATGGGAGTTTTCCCCAGCATTTTCAATATCTATTTGAATTTTATGTGATCCATCAAATATTTTCAAATATTACACAGAAACCTCGGAATAGATCTTCTATACAGTCAAGTGGCTGGATTCAGCTCCCAGTCATACTGGGGTAAATGCAGAGTAACTCCACTGACTTAAGTGGAATTACTCCAGATTTACACCCATGCGACTGAAGAGAATTTAGCCCTCAGTGGTTTGTGATAGTCAGACGCTGGATGTGAATGTAATCAATGGAACTACTCCTGGTCGTAAGTGCTGCACTTGATAATAAGTATTTGCAGCGTCATGCCCAATATGTAGTAAAAGCTGCTGCTCTGAATGTGTATAATATGATTAAGCTATTTTAAACAGCATATTTATCTGGCCTTTCTTTTAGATTAAAAAATCAGCAGCAGCACTCTTCATGAGTGATACACGAGAGCTTGATGCCATCTTGTAATGTCTGAAGTTACTAACCGTAACGATGCGAAGTGTCATTACTGGAGATGACGTCACACCTAAGATTTCAAGCATGGACTGTTTTTAACAAATGAATTTTAGTTGCTTCAGAAACTACTCAGAATTATGTCAGTGCAAGACCAGAAAGCAAAGCCTACGTAGATATGAGCCAGCCAATATGAACACAAGACTAATAATAAATAATAATATACAAGAGGAGAGTGAGTGGTAGAATTTAATCCACTATTTTAATGTTTGCAATTTTTGGTTGTCTGGTCTTTTGTTATTATGTAGCACCAGCACTATACATGTCCTGAGCCCAATCCGACTGCCTTAATGTACATGGGTTATCCTGCCGGCTTTAGTGGATTACTGCAGTGAATAAGGGCTGTAGGACTATACCTTTTTCTGAAGTGCTCAGTGATATGTAGGTGCAAATTACTTGAACTTGTGCTTTCATTTCTTATATTGTCACCAGAACCCTCAGTACATACATACCACATCCTCCTCTCTGCATACAAGGGAGCTATTGTCTGGAGCGAATTTCATTGTGTTTTCTGAATATTTGAAAGGATTCACTTTCCCCTTCATTTTTCTTCAGCTTTACATTTTTGTTGTTGTTACTAAGATTACAGTTTTCTTTTTATTTATTTCCATAGATTGTTATATTTCAAGCGTGATAGAAGGGCCCAATCCTGTGTCACTGAAGTCAATGGGAATTTTGTCATCTACGTCACTACTAACAGGATTGGGCCCTGACTGAACTTTTAAAGAAACGATCTTAGATAGCTGAATTATAGGGCTTTGTCTGTTATTTTCTCTTTTTAAATTGTGTCGGGTAAGGGAAGAGGTCAGGGCATCGATTGTTTGGGTGATTTGCAAGTAATGCAGGAGAGAGAGACAATTGGATTGTAGTCGGCAGGGGAAAATGATCATTGATTATTTTGTATAAATACGTAGAAAATAAATTTGGAGCATAATTATCCTTCCCTGTGAGATCAGCTTTTTCAGGGCTTATTACTGTGTGTCTGGGATATTTTTAAAACCAGATTTCTAGTTTCAGCAAAGGAAGTTTTATTTTTTAAAAACCCAGATTTCCCGAGGCGAGAGAGATGTCTTCCAGCAGGGATCTGCACTGAACGCTATGGGATTTGTGAAGGCTGCAGGAGGTAATTCTCAGAAAGGCTGGTCAAGTATTATTCTGTTCAGCTCAGGCTTGATTAATAGTTTGGAGAAATTCTTGTTTCAGTGAGAGAGTGAGGGAAGGGCTGGACTGAATTATTGCAGGGCTGTAGAACAGGAGTTCACAGGTGTGAGGGGTTGCTAGGTTTTGCCTGTCTTTGGTAAATAGTGCAGCTGCTGGCCCCAAGCCAGTAGGTAACGGTTTAATGGTTTGTGTTCAGGGGAGTTCCTTGCCCTTA